AGGTGAAAACAAACAATAAAGTGTTTTACCAAAAAGAAAAAAAAACAAAAAAGAAGGCTAGAAAACACTATTGAATATGCACAGCGAATGTGCTTTATGTTTTAGAGTAAAGAACATAAATTGAAGGAAAAAAGCAAAGAAAAAACCATGTATAGTGCACCGATCGGAGGATTAAAATTTTTATTTTAAAATTTTAGAGGTCAAAATAAAACAAACCTGAAAATTTTAAAAAGTTAAATAAAAAAAGAACCCAAATTGATGAAAAAAAAAAAGCAAGGGGAAGAAAAGAAAAAAACATGTATAGTGAAACTAAACTAAAAAAAAAAAAAAAAGAAACTAAAATACCTTTTTTTAAAAAAAAACCTTGCTTGTAAAAAGTGGAATAAAGGCACTGGAGAAGGAAAAAAAACAATAAAGTGTTTTACAAAAAAACAAAAAGGCTGAAAAACACCGTTCGTTGAACGATGAAACGCACAATGAATGTGCTTTATGTTTTAGAGTATTAGTAATATACATATATATTATTCTATTATTTTTGTTGAGAATATTTAGGCAAAAATTATAAAAGATCGGACATTATTTTTTATATTTCTCATGCACCTTTGGGTGGATGAAATATTTATGACTTATTTTTATATTTTAAAATAAATATATATTTCATATTATATTATTCTTATTATTTAAAAACTTTTTTTTTCAATTTCTTATTTCTTATGAAAATTCTCATTCGATGATTTTTTTATTATGAAATTTTATTTTTTGATAAGTTTGATTTATTTTTCTTTATATATAGATTTTGAAATTTTTATAGAACCTATTTTTTAAAAAAAATTATTATATAATTTATATGATAAATTCTTAGAATTTTTAAATGATGACATATTCAATGTAAGGGTTAATATTGTATTTTAAATAATTTATTTCAAAATTTTTTAAATATTTTTTGGTTTGTACTTCACACTCTCAATTCACTATGTATAGTCATGATGCATAAAAAAAATATTTTTTATCACAAGTTAATTATGCATCAATATACATAACTCCAACTATTTGTCATTATTTTTTATTAATTTATTTGAAATAAAATGATTAAAATAATATTTTAATAGAGCCACCAAATGATTTAAATAGTTTTTTATGCTAACATTATTGATTATTTTGTGAAAAAAAAATCAAATGTACACATTTTTTTTATAAAAAATTTCTCATCGGCATTAAATAAAAAAATCATTTTCTTATAAAATTTAATGAAAAATATATTTTGATGGCATTTTTTTTATCTCGGATAAAAATATTTAATTTATATTATTACAAGCTATTATTCAAGAATCATTGCATACAAAAACATTTCTTTTTTTCTTTTTTTTGAGTTGAAACAAATATGAAAAACACAAAGAATAATTCACCAAGTACAAGATTTTGATTAAAAAGGTATAAATTTTAGTTTTTTTTTTCTTACCTTTGATTCTATATGTTTTGATAAATCCACAACATGGCATGAAATATCAAATTAGAATAATTTTGTGTTATTTAATCCGTAGCCGTAGCGCAAACAATCAACTTGCATGGACTTGTTATAATTTTTCTATTAATCCTCTTATTGTATTCTTTTTTAAAAATTCCTCCTTTTGTTGATGTGAGCAATGTGAGAGTTTTTCTTTACTCTATTTTTTTTCTTTTTCTATTCTAATAGTAGGAAACAAATGATTTCTAAATTCATTTAGTCAGCATTACTTTATTAACATTTCAAAAACAATGAAACCTTATCATTCTCGTCAATGCTACTTGTGATGTTTGTTTTTAATGTTGCAATATCAGATATCGCTTTTGATTTTCCACATCGCTTCCCAAATTTGGGTACTACAATCGATGATGTTATGAAGATGAATCCTTTGATGTACTTGTCTAAGATGCCTGAAATATTTCCAAGTGAAAATCGACTTGCATTTTGGCAGCGATGGATCTATCCATGTTAGTATCTGTTCCTTCAACGTTTAATTTCCTCCTCGCATTTCTCTACCTAATTCAATGGTTTTTTAACTTCCATTAATTCTTTTCTTCCTGTAGCTAAACCATGTTAATTATTAGAAAAATTAGGATACTACTAACTTCACTAAACACATAATTATTTCCACTACTTTTTAAAGATAATTACCAATACATCCTTTGTTAATATTTATTATGTAATATTTAGTTACTAGTAATTATTGAAAGGTGTACCTGTAATTGTCTAAAAAATAGCGGTAGAAATAACAATTTAGCTTGTGAATTTAGCAGTATTTGAAAAATTAATGCTTTGATTTATTTGCATTGAATTCAAAATTAAAAAAAAAAAAAAAACAAATAATTTTTTTCCTTAGGAATTTCAACTTTCAGATTAAAGACTTAAGATTTATTATTAATTTTGACTTAAGATTATCAGATTGTTTGCAATATTATACAAATCATGAGATAAGGAAATTGGCTGTGGCATTGTTTTGAGTCAACTATGTATTTTCAGCAATTTTATCTTAATAAATATTTTATTATATTTCTATTTTCTTTTAAAAAAAATAAAGAAAAAGACATTGAAATGTTACTAGTGTATAATAAATTAAAATTAACTTAATTTTAAAATCATAACAGGTATACACATTCAACCAATTGTTGCAACTGATGGTGTTCGTATTTATATATCTCATCATCAGAACCAAATTGAGTCGAAGAATATTTTCCTACAAGGTATTTATCATTAGAATATTGAAAATTTAACATGTATATTTAATTAGCGCGCGTGCATATATATATATACACACACACTTGTGATCATGATTTTTCTGATTAGTTTTTGTTCAACGTTGCAGTGTTAAGTCAATTGCGTGGGTTTGCTATAAATCTCCTTATCTTCTTAGGTATAAGTTATTTATTTCTATCGTCATTAATTAATTATGTATCATGCATGGTTTTATTTGATCACTCTTTAATTAGTAATGATCTGTGTAGGAATCAAGGAAATATATAATTTAAAGAAGATCCACCTTTATTCCGAAAATATTCTACATTGTATGTGTGAGTAAATATCAACTCTGGATTTTGAAGAATACGACAAGGGTGATGTACTTGGGGCATTCCACTCTGGTTAAAGCTTGTCCTCATATACTGTTTAGTGGAGATGATAATTCAAGAAACCTATTTGTTAAAATAGAGGAATGAGATATAACAACACAAAGAAGCACAGAGAATAGAAATGTATTTGCATTGATGATTAAAAAATCATGTCCTACAATTCTGGTGAGTTTCTCTTTAAATACAACAGTGTCTATTCTAGAATATTTACAATAAAAAAATTAAATAACAAACTATCTAACTGCATCATTCCTTGTGTGTTCATCATTGGTTGATGTAGGTCTTTGACATGAAGAATTTTTCCAGCTCCGAGCTTCTTGAATCAGTTGACAACTGACACCCTTCAGGTCTGTGTGGGTCAGTCAATACAACAAACACCTGGTGTGCATGATGCGTATAACTAACTCTGCTCTCAATTCATTCTGTTACTATTCCATGCATATCACCATTCATATTTCTCACATGCACACATTGCACATGCACATTTCAACACTATTTATGTCCTTAATTGTAAATCGGCAAGAAAAAGTGTTCAGCCTTTTCTATGGACTTGGAGCAAGCAGAGGAGGATTGGTGTCCCTTATAGATAGCTCAGAAAATACAATGTTGCATTTGGCAACAAAATTATCACCTTCTTCCCAACTAGCTCGGATCTCTGGTGCACCTCTTCAGATGCAAAGAGAATTACAATGGTATAAGGTGATATTTTTCAAACTTAACATTCTTTTTTTTTTTTGAAAAATTGATTGAGCCTGCTTAATAAACAAGCTAATTAAATAGTCACTTAATTAACTTAGAAAGAAAAATTAACTTCACTCACATCTTGATCATCCAAAAATCTTAATGCAGGAAGTGGACAACATTATGAATCCTATACTTAAGGATTTCCCTAATGAAAAAACTCAGACTGCTAGGGAATTATTTACCATTGAGCATAAGTAGTTGCTAGTGAAAGGAGAGAAATGGATGAAACAAGCTACAACTTCTTGTATAGTTGTGGGTGCTCTCATCATTACAATTATGTTTACGGCTGCATTTACTGTTCCGGGGCGCAACAATCAAGATACCGACTATCTGATTTTTAAAGATAAGAAAGCCTTTACAGTTTTTCTGGTATCTGATGCAATTTCTCTCTTTTCTTCATCAACATCAGCGTTGATGTTCTTGGGAATTCTTACGTCTCGATGTGCAGAGGAAGATTTTCTTGAATCCTTGCCCAAGAAGTTAGTTATTGGCCTTTCCACGCTCTTAATCTCCATTGCAGCCATAGTGGTAGCTTTTTGTGCTGCTCTTCTAATTGTGTTGGATGGGAGATTGCAAATTATAATTCCAATTGTATTGCTTGCTAGTGCTACTGTCACTTTTTTTATGTTGTTGCAATTTCCTCTCCTCGTCAAGATTTTTTTATCCACATATGGACCAGGCATCTTTGACAAGAAAATGAAACGTTGGTGCTAATTATTGAAATGTACGCAATTTTTGCTTTTAATTGATTAGGTCCTCTCATCTTTTGTGTGTTTTAGCTTCAATTATTGAAATAAACATTATGCATATGCATGTCACATATGGGTAATTATTTTGCATATGGCTGTTGTGATGTAGGTTTTAATGGACATTTAAGGATTCGACGCGAAGTTGATGATGAATCCTAGAAATTGCTGATGGGTTAGAAATTAGGCCAATCCCCTAGCTAACTCCTGCAGAGTACATAACCTTAGAAGAAAAAAGGGGGAAAAAACCAATAACTTGAGCTAAATATTGACTCCTCTAGATGAATTAATCCGGTCACAAAGTTAATGTTGAAGAGATTGCTCCAAAAATCAAGAGAGACAACAATGCAAAGGGGGTCTAGTTGCTAAAATTAAGTTGCTAAGAACCAAAAAAAAAAAAAAAAAATGAACAAAATAATCGACTTACATATTACAGAAAGTATTTCCTCCTGCTGAACTCACCAGTTTCTAGCTGTCCAGAAGTATTTTGCTCAAGTATAATTTCAATGGTCTGAGGTACATGAAGATAATTATGAGATTGTATAATAAACAAATGACTACCAGAAGACTAATTAAAATAAAGGGGGTCTTTCTTTCTTGAAAAACGATTTGCTTAGACAAAAAAAGACAAAAAGCAGGTCTTTCTTTTTATTTTTCTAACAATCTGGCCTTCTCCCTTTCCATTGAGCTCCGGCATATATATATATTATTGTAGGGTGTTGGGTGTTTGTTTATACAGTGTTACACATTTTGCCAAGTTGCCAACGGCCTTTCGTCTTAATCTTTGTTGCTATCCGACTCTCAATGTACTCTTGAAAATCATTTATTTTAATTTTATAATTTTAAGATTTTATCTTAAGGAATAATAAAAAAAGAATCTCTTTACATTTAGCTATTTTCAAATCAGTTACCCATATAGTTTTCAAAACCAATCATTAGGGAAGGTTCAATAATGACATGGTAGTAAGGGGAAAAAAAATCCCTCTTTTTTCTTAAAAAAAAAAAACACGATTTTATTCATCAGAATAAAATAAAAGCGAACTTTAATTTTCCAAAAGCAAGGAGGATATAAATTCAATTCCTTACTAGTTCGTATATACAATTGATAGCGTTCTTTAATTCAAATTAGTTTTTAGATGGAGGAATTACCCACTTTTTATATTAAAAAAAGCTTTGGGCGATATATATATATATATATATATATATATATGGAGTAAATTATAAATTAATCCTATTTTTTCAAAACAAAGTAAATAATAACTCTAGTTTCAAAAACTAATGAGTTAATCTCCTAAAATCAACTTACATATTACAGAAACTATGCTAGTGTATCAATATTCATGCATTAATGCAAAATTAAGTGGCTAAGAACAAAACAAAATGAGCAAAATAATCAACTTACGTATTACAGAAAGTATTTCCTCCTGCTGAACTCACCAGTTTCTAGCTGTCCAGAAGTATTTTGCTTTCATTGGACTGAGGTACAAGAAGATAATTATGAGAATGGAGAAAGAGATATAGAGAGGAAAAAAGAAACAAATGGAGGGAGGGGAGAAAAAGGTGAGAAAAGAAGAAAAGAAAAGGTTATGAGAAAAAGTTGCATTCTTTGAAAATCTGACTTTGCATATTAGTTTTTTTCTTTTATTGAAAAAAAAAGTACTATTTATTTATATTTTCTCCGTTTCTTCAAGATGTTGGAAAAAAAAAGGATTCTATCAGCTAGAGAATTACTAGCTGGTATAGTGAGCTGGTTTATATATATGTGTGTGTATGTACTTCTTTTTGTATTAAAATAGATGTTACAATAAGTATTACGTTTTTTTATACACACAACTTATTTATTTATTTATTAAATAATAAAATATAATCTCATATTCAATTTATGCACCAATCAAAATTAATTCTTTTCTTTATATAATATTATTCATAATTTGCAAAACCTTTTATTCCATATATTACAAATTACAAGCTACAGAATGTTTCGAAGAGTACGAATCAGCCCATTTTCAGCCAATGGGCCATCGTAAATTATAATCCTACCCTCACAGAAGTCAAATGATGTTGCCTTGTATGTGATTTTAAGGCCCATTAGAGTATTGGGCTTATTTCTGGACTTCATCCCCTCAGTAAAGTTTGATTTATTCCCTGCACTTTGCAGACTTTGTCTACTTACCCACTACACTTTCGATTTGTTTAATTTTATGTTATTTTTGGAGTTTGTTTTAATTTAAACACCTGACATTTCAAAGTTGAGCCAATCTGTCGTCCCTGTTAGGCTGTTAGGATTTTTACAAGTAAAAAAGAGAAATAACATAAAATTTTTAAATGAATATGGTATTTTCGTTTTCTATGTTAAGGCCATATATTTGCAATTTAGAACATCAATCCTTCGCCAAAAATAACTTTTTTTTTCACATTAAACATCAAAATAACAAATTATTTGATAATTATATTACAGATCAAATACTAAGCGTTGCTATATATAAGATTACAGTTGAATATTAGATCTTAACTAGACATATTTTAGTTTCATCTGTTTTTGTCTCATGGAAGCAAAGAATTTGTACTTATTTTCCAAGACAAAGTTTTTTTATTTATTTGAATTTGTATTTATTTTCCAAGACAAAGTTCTTTTTATTTTAATCTAAGGAACCAAGAAAATAAAGCATGTTCCTAGCTTATAGACTAATAAAAAAATATATTTCTTTACCCACCAATATCAAACCCCTTTCTTTTTATATTTAAAGAGAGACGACCCAACCACCGATCTTGACATCTGTAGTGTCTCTGAAAATCAAGGAATTTGTATTTCTTTTACCAAAAGATTTTGTGTTTTTAAAACACCGAAAGTAAGAAATGTGTCATATCTCTTATCCCTTTCTGCTTTAGTGAAACGACTTAAGAGAAAAACTTTTTTTTTTTTTTTTTATCTTTATAATATACAACTGCAATCTGCAATATAATTTACAGAAATACTAATCTTAATAAAATAAATAAATATTAAGTAATACTAAATTTGTATGTGATCATTTATAATTTGATGAATTATATATATTAAAAGGTATGGATCATTTAACATTAAAAACGATTCAAAATGTATAGTAATATGTATGACTATCTCAATACCAACCTTTCAAGTTATTACCGCTACATTATGCATTTTGACATAGGTTATTGGAGAATTTTATAATATTGAAATAGCCATAATTATTTAGTAGGCTTACTTTTGAGAAGTGAGATAGATACATAAAAAAAAATTATATCTGGATCGGATTATTAAAAATAATAAAAAGATTTTCACGTTGATTCAATTCTTTTTATAATTTTTTTTATCTATCTCTCTCTAGAGTAACTTACACCGATTACTATTTCGAGTATTGTATTTCAAGACAGTTTTTTTTTTTTTAAGAAAAAAAAATCTAAACAATCAAGAAAATAAAGCATGTTACTAACTGATAGACTAATAAAAGAATAAATAATTCTTTTTCTTGAACAACCAATGCCAAATTCCTTCCCTCTTATAGTTATACAAATACCTAACTATAGATCTTTACATCAGTGGTTTCTGTTTTATTTGACCTGGTACACAGATTCTAACATGAGATTATAACTATGATCGATAACTAACGTCGCTCCAACTGCAATTGTTGTTGAAGTCCTAAGAGATGATAATTATGATGATTGGAGCTCCTGCATGAAAAGCTATATGTATGTTAGCTCAAGACCTTTGGGAGTTTTTTGAACCTACTGATCACCAAGAAGGTGAAGTTGACTCCAAGGCATTGAGGAAGCAGAATGCTGCAGCTTTACATGCAATTCAAATTTCTTGTGCACCACGCATACTTTCCAAGATTAGGCACATCACTTCAGCCAAATTTGCCTGGGATACTCCAACCAATTTGCAAAAGCAACATGCAGCGAGCCACAAAGAGCAATCTGTTGAAGAAGGTTTAGAGTCATCAAGAAATGATTACTTGCTGTTAAGTTGTCGAGGCTAAGGTTGATGTAACCCATCGTTTAAGACGCTATATACAAGGCAGTCTCGCTGAAAGTTTTTCTATCCACATATGGACTAGACATCTTTAACAAGAAAATAAAAGGCTGGTACTAATTATTGAAATGTATGTAATTTTTAGTTTAAATAGGTTCTCTCATCTTTTGTGTGTTTTAGCCTCAATTATTGATTTCAAGTATATAACAAACTTTTTATTTGATTAAAAAGGAGGGGGGAGAGGACAGGATAGTACAGTTACCTTTGTCATTCTGTCTGTTTCCTGTAATTTCTTTGCTTTTCAAAGTTCAATCGAACATTATGAGCTAAGGAAGAACCTGAAGCAAGTCAGCCACTATTTTTAGAGAAATTATGGTTCCATGAGTTCATGTGTCTAGGAAGCAAGGAATATTTTGTCTTTAGAACTCGGAAAGTAAGAAATGTGTCATCTCCCCTATCCCTTTAATTCTGCTTTGGTGGAACAACTTGAGAGAGAACTTTCTTCTTTTCTCTTTATTCTAAGCTGCAAATCACTGTAACAGCCAATTCCACTAGAGAATTATTCTATGCTGCAATTCCACTAGAGAAGATATGTCCTGGAGTGTTATCTTGTGTAGATATTATTGCCGTGGCAGCAAGAGATGCATTTGCATATGTGAGTATATATACAATCAATCCATCTCTTTATTTTTGTTTGTACTTCAAGTTCCAAAATCAAGATTTCTGATTTATGATTACTCTAAAAGAAAAATGGAAAATATCAGTGGGTAGTCCATCTTGGGAAGTTAAGCTTGGAAATACAGATAAGTCGAACTTTAGCCAACTCAGAACTACCTGCTCTCGGCTTCGAAAAGAAAGGACTTGCTGTAGGGGACATGGTCGCTTATGTAACCAACATACATAAGAGATCACCTTAATTTATTGATGTATATTAATTTCTGATGCTAAAAAATACTCGTTTTCCATTGCAGGTTCTCATACTCTAGGACAAGCTCAATGCTTTACATTCCGTGAAAGGATATACAATCACAGCAACATTGATGCTGGATTTGCTAGCACTCGCAAGAGGCGTTGTTGTCCAAGTGTCGGTACGTAGAGAAAAACAAAAACAACTAATGACAGTGTCGAATAGGTAAGTATTGCATTTAATTTCTAAATTGCGTGCAATAGACTATTATTAATTATTGGACTCCATTCAGCTTCATTTGTTCATGCCAGTTGCATTCTTTACTCCTTCAACAGCTCCTTGTGCCTTAGCTCTCACCTGCTCGCCAGCCTACACAAAACACAAAGTATCAAAATTAAAATCAAAAACCCATATTGCAAACTCCCTTATCTTAAATATTTATGCCAAAATATGCAATTAATGAACACTAGTGTGCTGTAAATTTTATTCGTGAGATGTTCATTGCTCCATTTTTCTTTTCTTTTTTTCTGGCTTTTGGATTATTTTGTATTCTCATACAAAAAGCCATTGTGGTGAGAATTAATGAATTCTGTGAAAAAATATAGAGCTTGGGATTGGACAAAAAATATATGAACCTCTAGCATTGATTCCTTGGCAGACTGAGCAGCATTTCCAGCTCTGTCCATCATGTTACTGGCCTTCTCCTGAAACAAACAAAATCCATAATTATTAATTAGAGAATATTAATTATATACGTATATACCTTAATTTGTATATGAATAAAAGCGAAGAAAAGAAAATCATAAGCTGACCTGAGCTTGGCCCTTGGCCTCACCAGCCTGGTAGCTCATCTTCTGAGTGTTGTCAGCCATCTTTGGTTATTGATTTCTTTGAAAGACTGAGCGAACACAAACTAATTACTTGAAAGCTATAATACTTTGAGAGAAGAAAAGAGATCTTTGGGTAACGATGAAGCAATGCCATAGTTGCCATAATTTATAGTGATTGAAACCAGACTGTTGTTTGACACGTGGAGTGCTGGTTGACACGTGCCAAGCGATTGGACTAAAATGTGTCAAGCTGTTATTGAGGTTCAGATTTTGGGGCCCTTTGACTAGGGGTTTCGTTTGTTTGTGAATAATGTGATATATGATTAGTTTTCTTCTCTTCCATTTTCATCGTTCTCATATCATATTCGTAAAATCCACATCACCAAACCCAATCCAAAAACATTTGTTCCCTCACTCTCCACCCTACAAGAAATTATAAATGCAACAACAAAGAGTAAAATGATTCACCAACTAACAATGATAAAAGCTAACCTTAATTTGTCCTTATATAATTTTACAAATTTCCAATATATCGATATGTTTTTAATTATATCCATTATATCATTGTATAGTATCTAGTTTTCCAATATACCTTTCTATTAAGTTTTTCCATTCAAATTTATAGAATTATATTTTTATTTCAAAAATACCCTTGAGTTATATAAGGATATAATAGAAAAAAATTTCAAAATATTTTAAGGAATAAAACAATTTCAAAATTAATCAACCATTAAAATTTTTAAAAATAAAACTTTTATTTTTTAATATTAAAATTATATTATTGTATAGTTTAAGGGAATTTTCAGATAAAAAATAATTATTATATTAATTTGGATGAAAAAATTAGACAAAATGACATATTGAAGAATTAAATGTTATACAAGGATATAATAGATGTAATTAAAAATGTAAAAACATATTGAAGATTTGCTTAATTATAAAATTTGATGAACTAAGTATTCTCATAAGTTATTGTTACAAATCAGTTGATATGCTAGTTATCTCCAATACAAGTGGGCCCGTGTCTGAAAAACTATGATTTTGCCATTTTTTTATTTTTTTCATTGATAAATTGAAAAAAAAATAAAAAGAAAACTAATAAATTAATTAATTAGGTGAGTTTATATTATTCTTTCTCGTTAGCTAGGGTTTAATTTTGATCACCTCCAGCATTTTAGCTACATGTGGAAATATGAAGCCCATTGAGTCCAAAACATTAAACAATATACCATACAATAGTACAATAGTTGTGATTCACCAAGTTTTTGACCAATTTCATTATTCTTTAGACACAAAAACCAACGCTAACTAAAACTCAGAAACTAAAAACTAAGAAAATGAAGAAATATTAGACACCCAAACTAGGAATCAATTAGGACTTCTATCAAACACGTGGTGGACGAATTTGAAATATCAGAAATATAAGAGAGAGAGTGCGTAATTTTCCAGAATGCCAGCAATTACAGTTTCTCTAACGCAACTGACTAACGAACTTGCCACATCAGCCTAACGAACTCCCTCACGTACAAGCCATGCTCTTCCTTAAATCCTTCCCGTGTGCTTTTTCTTCACACGAGCCTGCCTTGTATCGAATTGTTGCTGGCATAATAAACTAATTCGTAATTCACTTTAGTCCTCTAATTTTTCAAACTTAATCCAAGAGATCCCTGAAACACTTTCAATGCCACCAGCTATGTATAAGAGTCATTGAGACTTTATATTATTTATTGTTACGCTGGTGACTTAGTTTTAACGAACTCCCTCACCTACCAGTATGATGTTTTGGCTTCTTCTTCTTTTTTTCGTACAATTTCCTTTATAAAATTGCTTTCTTCGTTTTATTAGAAAAGTTTTTCTAACAGAAAAAGATAAGGAAAACACGTCCATTAGTAATTAAAAAAAGAAAAATGAAGGCCACTTGCATAATAAACACAAAAATAAAAACATACCATCATCTTTTATCCTTAAAGTTTATGAAATATCTCAATATTATTCAAAAAAATAAAATTAAGTCACTGAAATTAACAAAAATAAAAAATAATATAAAACAGATGATAAATTTTGGGAGGGTTAATTTCTTAAGAACAACATCAAATCTTATCGATTTCAATTCTCACTTAGCAACAACATCTTTTTCTTTATCAAATTTATAATTAAATAAAAATTAAGATTCAAATTAATTTTTTTATATATTATTATTATCATTATTGCTATTATTATTTGTTAAAACCTTCACTGTTTCGATAGCACATTTGATATGTGCAAATAATTAAACTATAAATGATATCAAAATTGTCCTATGCTCAAAATAATATCATTCCATTCACATGGATTTTATTTTATCTTTTTCTCAAAATTCTTATTTAATATTTTAATGAAAAATAGGATAAAATATATAGATTAGTGAGAGGATGTATAAGAGGCATCAAAACTGGTGATTCATAATGTTTATATAAAAATATTTTTATTATATTTATTTTTAACTTAATTTTTTCTTGTATTTTCAAATGATTTTTAACTAGTTTTGATGAAAAAAAATATTTTTTTTATCATATTTACTTTATTGAATATATTTTTTAATGATTTTTTAATTTTAATTTTTTTATTCTTATAGTTTGAGTTATATTGAAATATTTCATAAAATTTAGAAGTGGAATTAATAAAATTTATACACAATGGAACTAAAATAAAAGATACTGGGTTTGACTGAAATAGATAAAAAATTTTAAATGAAATTGAAAAAAAAAACATAAACTTTAAAGAGACAAATAAAAATTTACCCTGTATTTTTACTTATCTTAATATCTTTTTTTCATTTTCAAAATATTTTTTATTAGATTTTTTTATTTAACAAGAAATTAAGATATTCTTTCCATAAGAAATTTTATAATACTCAATGAGTAATTATTGACATGTATAGTAGTTTTATATATATATATATATATATATATATATATATATATATATATATATATATATCTCCTCAAAATGGATTTATAAAATAATTACTATACATACCACTAATTACTTCTTGAGTATTATAAAATTTTTCGTATTTTCATTATCAATAACCTACATCATATATTACATGTGTCAAATTCCATTTTTATTTATTTTTTTCTTCTTCCTCCTCTCTCTGTCTCCCCCGCTGAAAATCACCATGGCTGCCACCTGCTTTTTCTCTTCACATCACCAAACTCACTCCAAAAACATTTTTTCCTTCACTCACTATCCTACAAACAAATGTAAAAAAGCGACAACAAAAGGTAGAAAGATTCCGAAACTAACAATAATTAAAGGTAACCTGAATCAGATCAGAATATATTATTTTTTGACCAATTTCATTGTTCTTTAGACATGAATGGGGGGATGAGAATGAAAGTGAGAACGCTTATACACCCTTAAGAGCCATACCTAAAAGCAGATAATTATGGGAGACTAATGATCGTCATCCCCAAGTTTACTTAGTCTTTTTTTTTTTTTTTTGCCTTTTTGTCCAAAGTTGGTTTTGTATATCGATAACAAAAAATGTTCTTTGATATGTCCAAAAAGACAAACTGTTTAAAAATTCATTTCATTTTATCAGCTCGTGTCTTTTTCTCCCCACCTCCCCCCCCCCCCCCCCCCCCCCCCCGCGGCGCCCGAAGAGAGGAGTAGAATGATGAAAAAGGGAAGAAAATTAAGTTTGAACACGTGTCAACATATCATAGCATCTGTTAGATAAGGACCCAACAACCAATACGGCTTTAAAAATAAAAATAAAGAGAAGAAAGTAGTATGCATAAAAGCTTTCAACCAAAAATTGGTTTCAGATTCCTTGATATCTAACAAAATGACTTGTAAATAAGTTAGCCTCTAGCTGTTTGATACACTTCGAGGATTTATCTCTCTTTTTTTTTTTTTTTAGAGTTCTTAAGGATTTATCTTGATTTTGGCATTGCCACAGGTTTTTTTTAGTTGATAATATTAAGTTTAAACAAATTAGAAATTATTATTTGGTTAAAAATCAAATTAATTGTACAATTATTATTATCAAACTCTTCTATAACAAAGCTAATGAAATTTTAACGTCAGAAGAATTCTTTTATAAAACAAATTGGTCACTATATATATTCTCTGCTTATTGCTCATATTTTTTTAATATATGGTATACTTTTTGTATGTTTTTTCTTTACAGTGTTTTTTTTTTTTTTTGGAGAATTCATTTCTACTCCTTAATTACAAATAGTAAAATCCATCATTATATATTTTGTTATGTTCATAGTTAGAATTTTCGTTATGCATAAGTTAGATTTTAGTGTTACACACACAATGCATTGGTGTGATCGTCTAGTTAACATTTCAAAACACTGAAACTTT